AAATAAATATATATATATATATATATATATATATATATATATATATATATATATATATATATAAAATAAAGGGTGTTTCACCTAACTTGTACAACTTAAATAGCTTCAAAATTATGTGTTCAGTGACAAATTATTATATACAAAAGTTGTCTGGTTTAGAGAGGCATATTATGAAGTATATGTATTTTTTTTTAGAGATGGAAGAGTTTTGGAGATTTCAAGATCATCTTCACTTTTTTAAATGATATATATATATATTTTAATTTATTAATCAATGGAGCACGATATCTATAAAAAGGTATTAATTTCATCTATGTTGAAAAATTATTAGTTTATAAGAATTTTTAATTCTATTAAATCTATCGTATGACAGACGAGAAAAAACAAGGGCAGTATTCTTGTATTTTACAGAATTAAGATTAAAATATTTCTATATTATATTTCTATAAATAAAATAAATAAGTAATTTTTCGACATATATAGGTTAATGCTTTTTTTGTAAGGATTATCAACAAAATAATATATTATTCTATCTAAAAAAGTGGAAATCTCGAAATCTTTGAAACGCCCTCATACATAAAAAAAATACCACATAATATGTTTCTCTAAATTGTGCAACTTTTGTATATAATAATTTTTCATCGAACTTATGGTTTTAAATTTAATTAAGGTGAAACATTCTATATACGTTATATATTTAGTTTTATTTATATAAAATGTTTTCATGTTGTATGAAACATAAATTTGTATATTTTCGTAAATATTTGTCTATAATTATATGTACATATTATATATATAAAACATATTTATATTTATATAAATAGGACATAAAAATATTAAAATTCACATAAAAGAAATTGAAGTATTATTGAACGATTGTCATAAAATAATATGTATAAATTTCTATTTCAATAATTATTTTAACAACGTGTATATTTGAAAATTTTAAAAATTTTTAAATAAGCAATATATCAATATTTTAAATTATGACAAAAATTTACTTTTAAGTGCAAACATTTTATTTGTTAACAATTATTTTTTCTAGTTAATTTAACGAAAAAAATGTTATTCTGATAATATATGAATACTTTAGACTTTAGACTTGGAACTTCTTATTCAAGTTAGAATTTTAGTTAGGGAAAATTTAGTTAAATAAGCTAGTAATTTTTGAGTAATACTATTGGTTATAGTTCCGTCAGTCAAGTACGGAAAAGATGCAGTCGCCATTTTACATCGTCGATTTTTACGTGTGTGTTCGGTGCAGTTACTTTAAGAATTCAATTCTTATTACGTGGTCATAAAACGTTTAGTGGCGTATTTTTACTAATTTTCACTTGGTAAAAGTTGATAAGAAAATATGGGACGCAAAAAGAAGAAGCAATCAAGGCCCTGGTGTTGGTATCCTTTTCCAAAATATCCTTTACTAGAGGGTACTTTACGTAACTGTATTTTTAGATCGTAAATCAAAATTATACAATTGTAATGTTCTTAGAATCGTATGATTATAGCTAATTTGTTGTTTTACTAATATTCGTATTACATTCTGTTGTATTTTAATTTGTAATTCGAAAGTTTCTACTTTGTCACAAAATATTTTCAGTTCGCTAAGTAAAAGCCTGTGACGAGTTAAAGTGGCTGAGTAATCGATATTTCGTTAATAACTATATTCGACTATGTTTCTTTCATAGTTGCATAGTATTCATGTACGAAACATGATAAATTGTTTAATTTTATTATTAAAGTATTTGTTTGAAAAAGATTCAACAAATGCTTTGATAATGTATTTTAGATGAGTCACTATATTATTTAGCAATGCAGAAGAAAGTACAAAAATATTCAAATTATTATCGTAAAGTTCAAATATTGATATTTGTTTTTTTTTTTTTTTTTTTGAGTTTGAATAATAAAAGATTTTAACCTTGTCTGGATGTGGAGACATATGTTTTACATATTTTTTGGCAAGTGATATGTTTGATATAATTTCAGAACATGTTATATGTAGAATATGTATGTGTATATACATTTTTTAAAATTCTTAAATTAGTAGAGTTAATTTTGATATTTGTTACAACATAATTTGGTTATATTTTATTTGAAAAGAATAAAATTTTAAAATGTTAAATTGTTAAATTAAATTGAAGTTTTATAGCTTTACATAAATAATTCATATTTTTTATATAATTGGTTATGCATCATTATAAACTGATATAATTATAAATTAAATCATTAATGAATTAAAAATTTATTAAAAAAATATATTATTTTCTCTGTTATTATAAATTATTAGATTTGAATTCATTTAGAAATGATCGAGGATATGAATATATATATATATATATATATATATATATATATATATATATATACACACACACACACACACAACAGATATCTATTTTGTATGTAATTATGTTTATTACTCATACTTCTTTATTTGTATATCAACTTTAACTGATTTATTAAGGTATTGTAACAGAGAATTTGAAGATGAAAAAATTCTTATACAGCATCAAAAAGCAAAACATTTTAAATGTCATATCTGTCATAAGAAACTTTACACGGGACCAGGACTTAGTATACATTGTATGCAGGTAATGTTATTAAATTTTCATTGAATAATATGTAAATTTCAAAATATATTGATACCAAAAACTTATAATTTTATTTCAATTTATTAGGTACATAAAGAAGCAATAGATAAAGTACCTAATTCTTTGCCAAATCGAAGCAATATTGAAATAGAAATTTATGGTATGGAAGGCATACCACCAAATGATGCAAAGGAGCATGAAAGACAAAGAAATGGAGGTAGACCTGGTTCACCAAGTTCTGGTGAAGATGAACCAGTTCGAAAGAAAGCAAAACCAGAAGGTTTATTAGGTTCTGCACCAGGAGCAATGCCTACAGGTTCCAATATGATGCCAGGTGTAATGCCAGGTATGGCGGCTCATCCTGGTATGCCACCAATGGGATCGTTCCCACCACCCATGCATCATATGATGGGACCTATGGGTCCTGTAGGTCCACCTTTCATGGGTCCTGGGTATGTATAACTTATTCTTTTAAAACCAGACAACGCGAAAGAAGAATTAAATATCTGATATTAATTTAATGCAAGTTAGGTAAATACAATCTAAAGTTTTTAAATTTATATATACATGCATACATATATATACATATATTTATTATCTAATAAAAGAAATATAGAAATAATAGGATAAAGCAATAATGTTTCTCTTTTTTTTTTTATAGTATGATGCCTGGAATGGCAGGTATGCCTCCAGGTATACAACAACCAGTATCAGGTGCATCCATACCACCAACACGACCATTATTTCCAAGTGCTGCAGCTGTTTCAACAGCTACATCGACAGCTGTGTCTTCTCCTCTGGGTACAGATTTTAAACCAATTACATCAGTGGCTGGTGGATCTATAGGACCTGTTAAACCAACATTCCCTGCATATAGTAATGCAGATAGTAATACCACCACTAATAATAATATTGGAAGCGATCAGAAAGTAAATCTTATAGCTACTACTAGTGCTGCCATTAAAATTATTCATCCTCCAGAAGATCTTAGCCTAGTATGTTGACTAGTTTTTACATGTATGTTAGCAATAGATACAGAAAGTAAAAACAAAAAATTATATGCCATAGGAGGAAATTAGAGCACGACTTCCAAAATATCAGCGGCGACAAACTCAAGAAACTCGAACTGTACAAACCGCTGATGCTAGTCAGCAAGCTGCTGTATTGCAGCAGCAACAACAACAACAGCAGCAACAGCAGCAACAACAAGCTGCTGCTGCTAATGCAGCTGCTGCATTTCAGGATCAACAACAACGTCAACAAGCGGCATTAAATGCACTTCAACAACAACAACAACAAAGATTTCAGCGACCCCCACAAGCAGTAATGGTTCCTGCGTCTGCAGCAATGCCTGTTAGTTCTGTTGCATTGATGGCTCCGCTTATGCGGCCAACTATGACTCTAGCCGCACCTGCTCTGATTCATGGAGGTAACATGATGCGACCGCCCCCCATGGGCCTACCACCAGGTAAGTCTCTATAATTTTAAATAATCATCTCTATTTCAACGAGAGCACTTCATCAATATTCATTAATCTACGTAAATATTACATTTGTATTAAATTGTTTTTAATTGTATTAAATTGTGTATCCTTTCCAGTATTATATTTAGAGCTATCGAAGATATATTGAGTGATTGTCCAATGTAATTTTATCGCGCTTCCTTGGATAAAAAATTATTTCTTTTTGTCATTATAAAAGTTTAATAGTATTTTAACATAAATTAAGGTTTTTATAACTTTATATTCGATATTTAGTTCAAAGTTTCAAACAAGTTTCAAAAATCATATTTTAATTGACATTTAAAGTATTCGATTTAAAGTAAAATATATAGTATATTTTCCTAATTTTGAATATGCAGTACATTTCATTAAACAGCTATAAGCCATCATAAGTAATTTTCTTGTTTAGGCTATAAAATGATTATAATGTAAAAAATATTAAATCTTTTTATTAAAGAGATTTTGGACAGTAGGTTTATCCAAAAGCTTAAGGTTTATACGCGATCCGTCTAATAGAAATATAGATGATCACTAAGACAAAAATATTTTTCATCTGACATGCAGTATAATATCCTTTGCACTTCATCTATCACTATGCAGCCCATACCCTTTGCCCCCTACAATAAATTAGACTTGCCCGATGGCTAGGAATGTGTTATGGATGAATGAGAGTGACAGAAGACAAAAATTAGTCTTGGGGGGACCAATTTTGACGAGGTACACGAGAAATATTTTAAACACAAGAAAACATTAAAGAAAAAAGGGGGAGGAATGAAATATGATCGATATTAGCATGTTCAAGATTCATCCGTATGCCAGAATCAACGACAGCGTGTCTTGTACGTTTATGTTTAACGGTGCGTTTGCAGGGCGCCCAGTCACTCCTTGGTGAGTGTTGAACGAACCCAGTCTGGTTACTAAAACCGTGTTTTATACAAGCGCAACAAGGTTGGTCCTTAGCAATTAGCATGCGGTGAAATGGCATATCTATATCTATCTATCTATTTATATAGTATATATATATACACACACGTGTATACATATATATACATATATATACATACATATATATCTATTTATATATGTACGTGTATACATACATATATATAGTTATGTATATATATATATATATACACATAACTCTATATATATATATATATATATCTATATATACATCGTTATATTTATTATTATTCTTATTAATTAATATTATTATTATTATTATTATTGTCATCATTGTCACATTAATACACCTATATATATTTCTGTATATTTATATTATTGTCACTGGGCAGGTGGGTCGAGCGGCCAACGATATTGCATCTGTTCTGATTCCTTCAACGCCGGACAGCCACACTTTGATTTTGGATACACGAGTCTTTGGACGTGAAATGCCTCTTCTTGAAACTAGAGTATTCGGTATCGGAAGCACGATTACGCTAGATTTATATTTTTATAATCGCGGTATATATATATGTATATATATACATATATATATACATATACACATATGCCTGCTTTTCAATTACGATAGAAAAATACGCGTTTTGTATATATTCATAGATATTTTTTTCTCGATGGATAAAAACTCTACTTTGAAATTGATTCGATTTTCGGCCGCTCGGCTGGTTCATCATCGCATAATATGATTTTTTTTCCTGTTTTATTAGCTTCTTTATTCACCATCTCAACTTAACCATATTCTTCTTATGACTCACTTGCCATTATCTCGCCAACCGTGTTATCATTCTATCTCTTCATATTATATAGCTTGAAATCCTGGTGTTGTGATATAGTAGTGAAGAAATCGCTTTTTGAGCACGGTACTGGCAGTCGTTCGAAGTTGTCATTCTAAGTAAAAAA